CTGGCTCGAATTTCATGTCGTACGCCAGAACGCTTTTCAAATCTTTGACATCTGCCATTCGCAGAGCTTTCTGTATTTCAAGATCCCGGATACCGTCGATGAAGTACTGCAGGGCAGGATTTTTCTTGTTTCTGACGAGCATCCAAAAAGGCGAGAGGAGATAGCATTTCTACATCCGTGGCAGGTTCCTGGAGCGTTTCTGTGGGCTTCTGTTGACAGGATTTTAATTGAATATTGCTGTAATCTTTTAAACACTTCTCCTAAAAGCGCAGCTCCAACGCGTCTGAGAGTGCTTCGAGTGTCTGGTTTTCGTTAAGAGTTTAGAGGATATACTCTGCGTCTGATCTCATAGAAGCGGCTAGGAATTCCAATCCATTCGCATCAGCCGCTATAGTAGATTGTGTCTTTTGCACTTGCCAGAAGGTGTTGCCATCATATGTGAATAACTTTAGAGAGGGACGAGAAGGCATGGGTTAAAATTCAAAACCATAAGAATTGTTTCCTGCTGTCGCTATACATTTCTTTAAGGTGTCAAGTTGTTTGGCTACGGTAAAAACTCTCTCTTTTGTTTGGTCTTTGACTTTTCTTCAGTTACTCCAACCGCATTATTAACTGTGCTTATTATGTCTGGAATTTGTTTTCTATTATGTAGGTTATTTCTCTTTTTATTTCCTTTTGAGTTGCTTCAATGTGTGCTTGAACAGTCGTCAGGTTTGGCGACTTTTAGCGATTTATCCCACAAATTTGGAGACAAACATTAGTAATCAAAACCGTTACCAACTTGGCGATATCTTTCCAAATTAGTGAGACAGCCGTTTACTCACTGTTAAAAGACTGGCCGCAGTATTCTTATTTTTACGGCAGAGCACCTTCATTCTAGATTTGTTACATTATACAGTTAATATAATGTATAATGTAATAATGTATACCATGTTATGTATATAATGTAATAATGTATACCATGTTACATTATACAGAAAAATGTATAGTAGCTTCACATACAGTCTCACTAAAATTATCCATATATGTACAAAATTCATAACAATATTAACTAACGTGCGCTGATTAGGTACTATGCTTCTGCCTTCATCTGTTGACAAGAAACAGAAGTTTTCTTCGAGATCATAATAAGCTATTGGAGCAATGAAGAATTTGAATGATCCGGGAACCGGGATGCATTTTTCATGAAGTTATTGAGGATCAGTGCATTAAGCCAAGAGGAGTGCACGTTGCAATTATAGAGATAACTGAAGATACAATACAAATTTTAAGCTATAGTATAATGATTAATTATTTACAGTAAAAGATAACAAAGTCTATAAGTCCTGCTAGCTCAGACACTGTACAAGAAAACCTATCTGCTTTTCTAGGCATGTTAAAGACAGAAAAATATAGTTTCATTATATACATATTCAAATCTCTGATTCTGCAAGTCTATTCCTGCTTTAGCAGGTGGGCAAATAAAATTATGTAGATGAGTAACACGAGCAGAATAAAACTAATAAGGTTAAAAACAGAGTACACAACTTGTTATTTTTAATTTTGCGTCACGAGGAATTGATCTGAGACTTTTTGCAGCGCTTTCTAAGGCTGAATTATGACCAACAAGTTTTCTTAGGTGCAAATACTCTGAGTTTTGTATTTTTTCGAAACGAGTGTAACTTTTTGTTAGAATTTGGTCTTGGATATTAAGGATTTTAAGTTCGTGTATCTGTGGAGCATCTGTGGAATCCACGGGGCGTTCATAATTATTCGCAACAATTTGTTCTGAAACATACAGTCACTAAACTTACCGTAAAATACTAATTCAGAAGTCAAACAACAAAAATCAGCGTTATATTTACAAAATTTTCACAGGACTAGTTTCGATGGTTTTACCGAACCATCATCTTCAGCTGCAAAACCGCAAATGAACAAGATAGAAAATAATGATTAGATAAGATAAGAAAGCGCCTGGACAAGAATAAGCAAGGGGCGCCATCTGTTGGCGAAACCAGAACTAAAACATAATTTCTCTAAAAGCCGAAGGCAAATTTGGATTAGAATTAGGATCGTTAACTAGAACAGAAAGATGGTTCGGTAAAACCATCGAAACTAGTCCTGTGAAAATTTTGTAAATATAACGCTGATTTTTGTTGTTTGACTTCTGAATTAGTATTTATTCGGCGTGTTATTGTGTCTTAATTACCGTAAAATTTTTACGGTAAGTTTTGCATTCGCTTTCTTAGGCTGGTACCGTTAAAGTAAAGTTGGTCGAATGAGGCTTAGATGGATTTTACCTTTTGTTCTGATGTGTAATTTTGAACTCCTGCCAAGTAACGGCATTAAAATTAATTTTGCAGCATTTGCTTTACATAATGTATAGCAGGTTTGTACAGTTGGGGATAGCAGTTGGGGATCGAAATATTTTTGGAGATAGTTCACGGTAATAACTTCGGGGACCTTTTGGGAGAGGAATATCATCAATCTTGATATTGATGGAAACCGGAGTACTTTTTCGATGTTATCGAAACGGTCTAATATTGCATTTACTTGGATTGAACTCTATTGTAAGTTGAGACTTTAGAGACTTAAAAAGAAAGACCGTATCTTCTGCGTAATTTACTATTTTGCTGTTCAAAGGAATTGGCCGATATAGATATAAAAAAACATGGGCCCAAGAAACATACTTGAGACACATCACTTCTACAGATTTTCTTCCTATAGAGTGAGATTCCTATTTTAACCTGAAAGAATTCCGTTTTTAAGATAAGAACAAATACGTTTGATGAAATGTATGAGGATCTATGTTTATAAAGAAGACCCGTATGCCAGACCTTGTCTAGGCTTTTTCCATATCTAAAAAGTATCCGCAATTGGGTCTTTCTTAGTGAAGGTTTCAGCTAGCAATTATGTAACATTAATTATATCATGAGCTGTACTGTGACCCAGTCGGAATCCATATTGTTCAGAGATGAGTATATTATGCTTTTCAATGGCTGGCATACGTTTTTGGAGCGCTCCTTCAAAATTTTTTCAAATGCAGGGTAGTGAGTGGATAGATTGGTAGGATAAAGCATCTATAGGGTTTTTCCAGGCTTTAGAAAAATAATTGCAGTAGAATTTTTACATTGCTGTGGATAGTAATTAAATCTAAGGCATGTATTTAGAAGGTTAATGATTAAAACAATATATTTATTTTAGATGTGATCAAAGCCTTGTGCTTTTTTTTATATTCAGGTTTTTGATAATTTTTTGCACTTCTAATGGGGAGAGGGAAAAAGCATTCCAGTGCATTCCGGTAGTTGATCAAGGAATTCTCCGACCATTTTTTCCCTACATCAGGATCCAAATTGGGAATTTGGTCGGAAGGATTGCGTCATAACTGCAGTCATATCTTCTGCATGGATTTATGAAGTATTTAATGTCACTGGGAAGGTTTGATACCTGTAGAAGTATTTAATGTTACTATACTGGGAATACTGGGTTTGAGAGGATTTAGCTATTTTCCAAGTAAGATCTTCCATGCTATACAATAAATCATCCCACATGTCGCAGCACTAATCTGTAACAAAATTGATTAATTTCCCTGATTTTACTGTTTAGAATTCTTTCATGCGAAGGAGCTCACACTCTTCTCCAAGTTTTAGCTGCTGTGTTTTTTTTTCCTTTAATTTTGTTAAGTGTATAAATAGGCAAAGTTTGCAGCTGGGAAAATTTTGAGGGTCTAGTCGACATTCTTGTGATCCAGTTGTGGGGCGAGGATGTGTAAGTAGTTAAGGTTAAGGTTTGTTTGACGTGGCTTGGCTGTATGGATACGTAAAATTTTAAAAATCTGGTTGATGCAATCAACAAAAGTTGGAGAAGGTTTTCAAATTTACTAGCCAAATTATTTGATAACAAAGCCGTGTTAAAAATCGTTTCACTTCTATTATGTGGCTTTCTTCTCTGTTGAAATTTCTCATATGGAGAAATTTATTTCTGTTTCTATTCGTCAGGTCCTAAACTGGGATTCCTTGAGCAACTGGTAAGAGCAGGGAAAAGTATTCCTTGCTGGAGATAAGTATAACAACAAAAAATCAAGTATCAAAGTATGTAGCTTATTCCTACATCTTTTTTTTTCTCTTTTTCTTATCTGAAATGAAAATGTTTCTGTTTCTTGGGCATTTTTTGAAAACGTATCATTTATAAAATTTAAAGTTCCGCGTCAGCGCTACTATCAAGCTTCAGTGTCTCTAACAACTATTTGGTTAGAGCCTCAGGCAAATTTCTGCATTACTATTGTCATTACTAAAGATCTGAACTGCTGATACGAAAAATTTACATAAGGCCTTATGATTTATCGATTGTAATACCTACTACCTTCTTGGAACTTCTTTTCGCTTATTTGCAGTGGCTCAAATGTCTAAAATATTTCAATAAAATCTTATCAAGCACAGAACATTCGCAAAAATTATTACATTTGTTTAAGAAGAAAGAGGAAAGTTGCTGTGATATAGGGCTGTGATGTAGGCCTGGAATGTAAGTGTTCAGTTCATCCCAGCAAGGGCAAATCAGTAGCTCAATTTAAGATTATTTAATTGGCTGTCTTCAAAGGAATTTAGATACGTGAGTTTCAATCAGTTTCTCTATGAAAAAAACCTCATGAAAATATATTTTCTGATGACGTAGAGCTCAAATAATGTGCCAAGATTTAGGTACCAGCGGCGTAGTTAGGATGTGGCAAGGAGGGGGACATCTGTCCCCGGGCGTAGCATCCAGAGGGTGCCAAACTGATGCTACGAAATTTTAAAATGAAATATTTTCTATTATTGGCACATAGAAGAGGATGCTAAATCTTTAGTTGTTCCCGGGCGCTGAGAGCCCTAGCTACGGCTTTGTAAGGAACCTAAGAGAAAACTTGAAAATTTTTTATCCAATAGAATAGGCTTGGGATTTTCCATTGCTTTCATGGACAAGCAAAATTGGTGTTTCAATAATTTTCAGTTATTTAAAAGAATTTGGATGGATTTTCCACTCACAACAAATTGGAAGCTCTTTTGGTGTCCATGTCCCATTTCCGAGACAAAGTCTTCTCCAGGGGCCTATTAACCGAAAGCCAGTTTCGCATGTGTAAGTAGCAATGGTACCCCTCCGGATCGACTCTGTATTGAAAGTGACTGTAGAGCGGAATGTAGATCCAGGCAAACCGCATGACAGGACTGCAAAAAGAAGAGGGAAAATCTCAAACTTCTACTATGTTAAATGTATTATATAAATACTTAATTAAATAATACGGATAAATAAGGTGTTATTTTTTAATAATGTTTTTGAAATAATTTAATAATAGAGATTACCAACAAATTCTGTATACTGGCCTAGGCAGATTCTTTAGATTTCGTGTTCCAGATGGCAGCCATCTACCTTCTCGAATGAGAAACTTGAAAAAGCGTAAACAGACTTACAATATAATAAAGATTTCCTAGTTTACAGATGCTGTTCGCACATTTTTAGGTGATTTTTATTGTATTTACAGAAATATTTTGCTTAACGTTTTGTGTTTTAAATGTTCTGTTTGATAACTCTAAATAAACCCTCTTGTAGCATCGGAAAACATATTTTATCCCATTCCTCTTGAACAGCTTTCTAAAGTCCAAGGAGGGTTGTAGGTAAATGTTTGGACAACCCGCTTTTTAAAAGTCTTAAAAGCGCAAAAATCCTTGGGTCATTAGTAAATTTAGTAGAGATACGAGTGAAGGGTGTAGCTTGATACTCATTTCTTCTTTCATTTTTTTTTCCAAGAAATGAATAGTGATTTCGACGTCTGGGTGCTTGCTTTGTCTCGATGCAATTCTACTGATTGATGGCACTGTGAGTAAAGAGAGGGATTTCATGTTTGAAAATTGAGTATAAAATATGGTTTTGATAATATGTGGAGTTGACCTTAGCATATTTTTTCTATTTTAATTTGCCGTTATATGAAATACCAGCCGCCATCGTAAATTCCTTTGAAAAATTTCCTTTAGGTTCCTTGAACCACGTTTTAAGATTTTTTTCCTCCACTTTGATATTAATAAATGGATCTCTTCTTATTGCAGTCATTTAAATGCGCCCAATATTCATCTATTGTGACAATATTTTTTCACTTCTGACCGCATAAATGTTTCTTATAAGAGAAACTTGAACGTTTTTTCCCCTTTCTTGTTGAGAACATTATATATCGCAGCTTTAGGTATAAAAAAATAATGCTTTTCACAGCGTTTTTACTTCCTTGTACGAAGTAAATAGGAAGTATTGTAATCGCGAAAAGTTTCAGGCGGCATATTTCAATGAAAATATCCATTTTGACCGCTATCGAATGCAGTTTAACGATGTTTTTGCGGGATATCTGTACGTAAGAACATACTAAAATACTCTTTTCCTTCAAAAAAATTATAAAAATGCTTTAAAATTAATTCTGAAGAGAATTTTTCGTGGCGTCTGTACAAACGTATGTACGTACGTGCGTACGTACGTACGTATCTCGCATAACTCAAAAACGAGTAGCCTCAGAACGTTGAAATTTTGTATATAGGACTGCTATAACATGCAGATGTGCACCTCGTATTTTGGTTGCAATCGGCCGCACCAAACATATATAAATATATTTTTATATATATCCACTCTGTTACCCGGCTCAGTGATCTCAGTTTCTTTACTCTTATATGTTTGTAAATTGTACATTTTATGCTTTAAAAATGATTGTATTATGTTGTTTTTATCTTCCGGTTAAGGTTTTTATGCCTTTAGTAAATCTGCACGCAATATGTTTAGAATTATCAACAATTTTAAAGTTGTGTAAGTGCCGCTAAGCCTTTTTTTATGGCAGCCATTGATGTTTACATTTGAAACAGGAGACTAGTGGATTTGTCGCCAATCTACAGAAACTTAGCTTCGCAACAACAAAGATAACGCATTCATTTATTATTGCGAAGTAAATCATGCTTAATTCTTTTTGGAATTTTTTCGAGGAAATAAATGCTTCAGATTTACTTCGTAATTTTTAATATAGATATTTTGAGTTTTTATGTATTTTTGCCTTCTCCCGAAGTGAGAACTGAATTAATTAAATGAGAAATACTCAATCGTCTGTGAAGAACTGTTTCTTTTTTGTTTTGTTTGCTTAATTTCTTTTATACATCATTCTAGCTTTATTACAGTATTTGAATGTAACATGTGGCAACGATTAGATAATTCTATTCTTTAAATGATATAAATTTTGTGCATTATGAGTTATAATATGAACGAAATATATAACTTAACTGTTTATATAATTATTGGATTATATAACAGTTAATTTAGTTTCCGTTATATAATTATTATATAAGTTAACTGTTATATAATTATTAATACTGTTAAGTGAATCTAGCGCCAGGGTGTCGCTATGGTAAACAAATACTAGAGTGAATTTTAAAGAATGCATTTATTCTATTATGGTTTATGCGCTGTCGGCGAAGTAGATTTAATTCAATCCAATAAGTTTGAATGAAATGCAAGAAAAAATGCGTATAATTTAATATTCCGTACAAGGAAGTCATGTGGTGTACACATCAGATTTTCTCAGATTTATTATTACGCATCGTTTTCTTCGCACTTACGCCACATACAACTCAACAGCAACATCACAAAATCTTTGTCTTTTTATTATTAACTTTATTTATAAAATATCACGTTCTTCGCACTTACAGCACATAAAGTTCAATTCAACAACAAAATCATAAAATATTTCAAAATAGCGTATGTTTAGAATTTCCGATACAGAATTAAAATCTTCTATACATATTTTAATACTCGCTGTATTGTTTCGTTAAAAAACTAGCTTTCCTTAAAAACTAAACATATTTTTATATTCGCTATATTTATTTCTTTAAAATCTTTTCTTTTTATTTACCTAAAATAAAAAAAAAAAATTATTTTTTATTTACCTAAAATAAAAAGAATACCTTATTTATCTAAAATAAAAAGAGTATAACAAATGTTGCTTTTTTTATGAAAACGAAAATAGAACAAATGTAATAAAGCAAATTCGAAAATAAAAATTCTGGCTTCCAGGTGCACATGTTTGGGTAGAGGGCTACGTTATTCGGAATTTGAGGCTCTAGGTTCCGTTATTTTTTCATAGTGCGAGGAACGTACATACAGACATGCAGATTCTTCATGGTTTAATTTCTTAAAAAATAATACAGGAGGATAATATTTGGTTGCAACAATTTGTAAAGAATCACGCCGTTTATAGTGAACAATGCAAAATCCCATATTGAGACTAACAGGCCTTTCTGAGCTAATAAAATTAAATCGAAAATATATTTGCAGTATTATTAGTCCAAAGGTGCTTTGTCCCTGAAGGACTATTGTTTTAGTTTTGCGATTTTGCGTTGAAAACTTTAAAAAGCTGTAGCACTTTTCAAATCGTTGCCACCAAATACTATCGCCCTGTATTATATTTGAAGAAATTAAATAATCAAGAATCTGCATAAATGTATGTAAGTTTCTCGCATTGTTATAAGGCAACGGTACCTAAAGCCATCCAATTTTGAATGACGTAATCCTACTGCGAATATTGACATGTGGAAGCCCAAATTTAAAATTTTAAAATTTGGAATTTGTTTTATTATCGATTTCATATTTTGTGAAATTTTAACGAACTTTTGATTAACAAACTCAACGATTTAAAAGCGAGCAATTTCAAGACTCTACGGGGGGGAAGGGGAACCTATTTATCTGCAGCGCGCATCGGAAATTCTAAAGATATGCTCATTTTAAAGTTATTTTGCGGCTTTGCTGTTGAAATGAATTTTATGGTTTAAGTACAAAGAACATAATATTTAATAAATGAAGGTAACTCACAAAACATTAAAAAAAGTCCCTTTGGACGTAATTTAAAATCTGAAACCTTTCTGAATTTTTTATATGAAATCATATTCCAGCAAGATAAGTTGCTATAAAAAAGTGTTACGCAGTTGAAACTCTGACTTTTCTCTTATTTATAGAAGGGTATATAAAAACGCAGAAAGTTTTACAAATGAAATAAGGGATACTTCCTGATCGGCTAAATTGGAAATACAGTTGCTGAATCCTTAAGTTTCAACTGATAACAAAACTGTTGAGGATGTTCACAGAACGGACTTAGTTGTTTCAAAGTCCCAGAAGCCTGTCCCCTTTCATACATGCATCGTTTGAATCACGAATCTTGTTAAACTGCATACTTATGAAACTTTTAGCAGAATCAGAATTAATAAAATTTTCAGGATTTGGGAGGGCAGTCATTGCTTTATTTTCCAGAAAATGTACCCTTCCATTTCTCCTGTGCTCCAAAATGTGTTGGCATACACTATTCAGTATAGTATTCAAAAGATGTTGACACTCATAAATACGTCTTGAGGCGCCGCAAGTTCTGTTGATGACAAAAATCTGATGGATAGTCCTAGAATCTGTGAGGAGAGGATGACAGCTTTGGAGAAAGAGGCCCTACGACAGCTTTCTTGTTTCAAGGTCATATGAACTACTTTCAGTTCGCCATCAAAATTTGTGGTATTAACACTGATAGCTGTAAAAAAAGAAAATGTTTACTGCGTGTATTAGCTTCAGCGCCTGTGTCCCTGTCCTTCCTTTAATCAAATATAATAGATTCGATTAAGACATAAGGGTTTTACATTTTTGCAGATTTCATTTTCTATAGATGTAAACTTAATAACTTTAACTAAACCTCATCGAATCCAACTGTCTGCATGTGTTGTTAAAATAAAATTACACTGACAGACATTGTTGATGAAACTCAATACTTAAATCTTCTATCGTTTCTTTGTTGTGTTTTCCGGAGCCAAAACGATAATTAGACGTGCAGATTAATGCAAACAAGATGCCTATTTTACGGCACAGGAAAAAGCAGAAACTAAAAATTTATTCATGAAACTAAATACATCAGTTTTAAAAACTAAAATCATCATGCAACTATTTAATACCGGAGTACTATGAGTACATCAGTTTTAAAATTTATTAACGGTTTACTTCTGTTCTGTTTAGCATAATTTCTTGCTATCAAACTTGTAATGCGATCAAATTATTACAGAAAAAGTCATTCGAGTGCTCACTAAAGTTAATATTTATATGATTAAATAGCGAAGAATCCCGTATGCATGTTTCTCGCATTGCGGGAAAACGTCGCAACTTAAAGAGTCCCACAGTTTAGTACACTTAGCCTAACAGTCTAACATGTGCACCTCATCAAGTTTTGTTTATTATTTAATTTATATTTATACGAACTTAATGAAATTCTTATTAAGAAATTTTTGCCACTGCTTGAAGATGCACATTTGTATCTTCCGCGCCCCAAGTGTGTAAAATATTTATCCTTAAATTTTAATAAATAAATTCGGGTCTTAGAAGCATTATGTCGCCACTGGCCGGCAATAAAATACTTTTACCTTCTACTCACCGGTGTTTCTTTTTTATAGTCTTATTATTTTTAAAAAGGCGAATTCTTCTTCGAGGATATTGTATTAAAATTTGAAGACTTGTGAAGTATTCGAGGTAATTTAATTTGAAGTGAGAACTTCTTGTAAAAGTCTTCTTTCTTCTTCTAAAATATACTGCATATGCTTTTCAAAATTTAGTTATGTCTTGAAAAGGACAGTACAACATTTGTTCACATCTAATTTTATCTTCCAGACTTTACATCACAATGACAATGTTAATATGGTCTTTGAGCTTATTTACATCATGTTGTGGATTTCATTTGGAAGATTTGTGTTATTGATGTAAACTTCCAGTTTACTTAAGGTTGACAAATTGTTGACAAATGCCTACATGTTCTTTTAACATGGGAAAATTGAGTTACATGGAATTTTATAAAAAATTCTAGTTAAGTGCTGAAAAGCGGTCTGCTGCTACACAGACTCTATCTACGAAATTGGGTGGAATTTTTTAAAAACATACCATACAGTCAAAAGTCTTTAATCCAGACTCCATAATCCGGAATGATCTATAATCCGGACCTCAAATCTACAAACTTTCTGCGCATGCGTCAACGCATTAATACGTTGACGCATACGCGTTTAATGTATAACGGACGGTATAAGTTAAGCTCTAATTATCTATTTCAGTTAATGTTGCAGATTGCGTTATTCCTTAATCTTCTAATTGGCTCCGGCTTATTATTTTTTGCAGACTGTTAGAGCAATTTTATAAAAGTAAGCTTGAACTTTCGATTATGTCAAAAAGAATTTCCGATTTTGAAGCTACCAAAGGATTTACAAAGCGAAAGCATGTTTCGATGTCCATCAAACAAAAAGTGGAATTGCTGCAAAAAATGGATAAAGACATATTCTTTGATTCTCTAATCATTCCGAAATATGTTTATCAATTTTAAGCTGCTCTCCGGGGGTGGGGGCAAACGACGCGGCGCGCAATGAACTGGAAGTTGATCTGTCAGCACTACCCTTATCTTCAGGGCAGATGTTTTTATTTTATTCGGCTTATAACTCCTTACTAAATGTAGTATTTCATCTCGATGTACTCCATCTTTGATATGATTTTTAAATCAAATTCCTCGTCGTTATAAATATCGCGAATACACATCAAATAGTTTTCTGGTTGAAATTTTCTAATTTCGACTATGCGTAATGTATGCTTTACGCATGCGTGCGTTGAAAGAAATGTTTAATAAAGTAAACAAATAAATATTAATTTTTTTTTGTAAATTTTGATACCCTTTAGATCATAATTGCTCTTTATTTCATAAATTACGGTTTCATATTTTTAATTTTACAATTTCTGCATGCCATCTTACCAGATTTAAACTGATGATCTATAATCCGGAAAAACCGATAATCCGGAATCGCCGAAGTCCCGACGAGTCCGAATGAAAGACTTTTGACTGTATCATATTTCATCTTCATTTTAAAATCCTTCGCCTTCAATTGCTTTTGGAATTTGTAAGACTTCTTTGACTTCATTTTCAGTCGAGGGAAATCTTTAAACTGTTAATAACCTCTGGCGAGAGCTAATTCTAACAAGCATTCATAGCTGACGAATGACCGTTAAACTGCGTATAAACGAAATTCTAGCATTGAGTAAATTAAATGAAAGCAATTAAGATAACGCGTGCATGCGAAATCGTGTTGGACAAATAGTCCTTCAGCCAGTGTTTACTGTTATAAAAATAGCAACACTTTTGATTTATTACAAAAAAATCCTACATTTTTAAGAAGTTATGCTAGTTGGACCCAATAAAATTATACTAACTAGAAAGTCATAATATACTCTTCTCTTTTATAATAAAGAGTCTCTTTTATAATAAATAAGTCATAATACACTCTTCTCTTTTATAATAACTATTTTAATCGGCTGGTCGCACAAGCAACTAATGTGCTATATCATAAACTGAGTAAATCGAAATTTTGTGGGTAAGGGGAAAAACAAACTATCTTTTTAAAAATTTATTACTTTATTTATAATCAGCTTTCGGCTATCTTATTGATCAAATAATTATTACTCTCTCAGCTTTATAACAATTACAGACATACTTGTTATTCAAATATTTTGGAACGCTTGAAAATAAGTGACAGAGATCGTAAATTTGTATCTGGTTGCTGTAATGCTTTCTAATAATTTCAGACTAATTACTAACAAATATAACTGTAGTATACTTTAGAAAGCAGTTTGCTCGTATATACTTTACAGCAAAAATTATTACTTCCCTCTCACTAAATTTTATGAAACACTCTTCAGGAAACTAATTTCTTAGAAACTTTATACTTGCCAACTGAATTTCCAAAAAACCTACAAACCTACAGCTAAAGCTTTTCGGTAGAGAGAGGAGGCAGAATAGATTGCTCAAGATTTTTTTAGTCATTATTATAACATTAAAAAATTCTTGATTACAAGTCACAGATTAAAAAATTCTAGCACATAAAAGGAAATAAAGAAGTACAAATGAAAATAAATAGAAAATAAAATTGAAAAAAAATATATAGCACATGCTAAATATAAATAGAAAATAAAAAGGCACAATTCTTGAACAATACTTGACTGAAAACCATACACGTAATGTCACAAAAACAAAAGCATAATTCGAAATATGTAGTTAATGACCAGCACTTGAAAAAAAAAAGTATAATTTGAATCATGTAATTCAGTTTCAGAGAGCACTGCAGAATTAAAAGGAAACATTTATCTCAACTAGCACGTAAGATATATAGAACGTTACAAAGTTAAATAAAAATCTCAAAAGTAATAAAACATTATGGCCCAGCTGAACGACTTTGAAATAAGAAATGCTAAGGGAAAAAATGAAAGCTACTAAATAAAGATAAAGAAAAATTCTTAAAAGTAATCATCGAAACCGGTGGTAAAACAGGATACTTTTCAGGTAAGAAATACTAACGAGGAAGTAAAAAAAGAAAAAAGAAAGAAATATTTTTTAAAAAGTCTGAAAGCTTTTCAGGTTTTAAATTACGTTCAAAGGGGTGTTTTTTTCCCATTTACACACACCTTTAGAGAGCATTTGGGCTAACGTCCCTTTGGGCTGAATCTGTTTAAAAGCATAACTTCAGAATTTTCGATAGACAGTCTCGCGCGCTGGAGATAATTTTTTTTTTTCGTACAATATTGCCATTGGTCGCTTTGAAATAGTTGAGTTTCTTAATCAAAAATTCATAAATGCTTTACAAAATATGAAATAGGTAACAAAAGAAATTCCAAATTTGGGCTTCCAGATGCCCATATTCGGGTGGAGGCGTACGTTATTGAAAATTTGATGGCTCTAGGTACCGTCGTCTTTTGACAATGCGAGAAACATACATAAATTTATGTAAATTTTTCATTATTTAATTTCTTTAAATATAATGCAGCGTTTATAGTAAAAGGACGCAAAATGCTGTTTCGAGACTAATAGTCCTTCTAGACTAAAAAAACTCCATTTGGGCTAAAAAGAAAGGTATTAAAAAATTAAAGATAAAGAAAATTGTCAAAAATAATTAAAAGTTGTGATCAAACAAGATACCTTTGAAATAAGAAATGCTTAGGAAAAAATAAAAGCGTGCAAATAAATTACAATCATATCTCAATATCTCTGTTTGAACGATAGTTATATTGGGTATTTAATTAAATAATAAATTTTAATGTATGAATACAAAATAGCCTAATTTTGATATTCAGATACATATACGAAAATTACTTTTTATGATTATTTGTTGTTAGCTTGATAAATTTAAGTTTTGACTATAGATTTCGATACATTAGGATGTTCTTCGTTGCCAAAGAATAATTTATGCATAATGTATTATGAATAAATAAATACTAAAATTTGAATAATTATACCATTTCTCTATTAAAAAAATTGTCTTACTTTCTTTTGGGTTTGTTACTGTTTTTCCATTAACAGCAATTATCAGCGTCAAAATTAGTTCTAGTACAAGTTGAACCATCTTGTTACGTTATGAAGCAAAGCGAAGCTACAGAATATCAACGCTTCATAAAAAACTTAACCAGCTGTTATTTTATGTATATGGAAGCAAGATTTTATTTTTCTAATTGTTTCGATCAAATGAAACAGATCTTTTCCCCGCCCATTCGAATTGTTTTTATTTGTTCACAAAGAGCATTGTATGTAACGAAATCGAATATTAACATAGAAATTTATCAGCAGCTGCTGATTTGGCTGTCAATCAGTATATGTTCAGGTTTTTCTTTCAACACAAAAGTGCAACTTATAATATAATGACACGTAATAACCGCATTCTAAATTTGGCTTTTAGGGTAACAATTAGGTACAATAAGAAGGATTATGAAAGCTGTAAAAATATGAATGAATAAATTTATATAACTTTCAGTTATCAAATTTCAAAGGAATATCCATTTTGACAGTTTACCGAACCTATTTTTATTGGTTTTCCATTATGCTTGTAGGTACGGACAGAATAAAGGACTTTTTTCCCAAAATATATTGTAAAAAATGCATCCAGAATATATTTTTTTCGTGATGTCTGTATGTACATGCGTACGTATGTATGTGTCTCACATAACTCAGAAATGATTAACCATAGAACATTGAAATTTTGTGTATGTGACTGCTAATCTAGTATAGTGTAATTTTGTGTATATGAGTGCAATATCTAGTTTGCAGTGGACAGTACTAATATACAAGTACTATACATCTACCTCTCTTACTTGGCTTAAAAGTTACATTATGAAGTCGCTAGGCTATACTTAATTTCATTACAGTTACTTCATAAATTATCTTTGATTTAATCCAAACCTGTGTGCTTCTGTAAACAGGAGTTAGTGCCGACTGTTAAACTTTATTTAAACTAAATAAAGGGTCCTTTACACCCTTTCCCTGTCTAAGTGGTACTTGCAAGCCATGGTGATAATTCACCAGTTGTTTATAAAAGTTCTGGCCTAATTTTATTCTACCTCAAAAGGCTAGATTCTACACATTTAACAGACCCTGCAAGAAATTGTGTGCATATCATTATCATTTTATTTATTGTTCTGTGGTATTACTTATTACTTTAAGATTAGCATATCTGCAATTTCCTTCTAATTTGTTATTGTGTTTAATTTACTCGAAAGAATCACATTTTAATGCATTATTACTGCTTTCGCTCATACGTGTGCATACTTTTATGAATTGTCAGTTGATTCTCGATGAGAAAAATGCATTATTAAATTTATCAATTATCTGTGTTTGTACAAAATCTCCAAAAATCTGTGTTTGTACACTGTGTTAATCATTCGGAAGAAGGAAACGTGAAAAACCAGCAGGTTACAGTTATACAGTCTACAGTTATACCTTGTAGAGACATTAGGATATTTCGAAGCTGGAGATGTGAAAATTAATAATGTCCTTGCCGGGATTTGAACCACGGACGCGTCGAGCGTGCTGAAGGCTTTCTAAGAAGGCGGGAGAAATACCTTATATACTCCCCCTTCTAGAGGGCGACTGGGGTTTCATGGGACCCAATCGCCAAATCCTGCTGGTAAAGAATCATCATTCACCACCTTTTAATTCGGGCACCACATTAGGTTAATTTGGAAGCAGGAGAGATGAAAAAGGAGCAATGCCCTCGCCAAGATTCGAACCTGTCGCTAACCTCTCGAATGTGCGTCGAGTGTGCTGACCAGTACACCACGAAGGCATGCTAAGAAGGCGGGAGAAATATCGTATAACCTTCACCAGGATTCGAAGTGTGGAATTTCCAATGCCAGTCAAACACACTTCCAGTTATACCAGGAAGGAAATTAATTCTTATACCTTCCTCCGGTCTCTACAATTATATTTATAAGCTTTTGTACAAAGAATAAAAGATAAAAGGTTTGGTTTCCGTACGGCTAGGCAGCTTCAATGCAAATCATTTGCTGTAATTTCTTAATGCTGAATACTGCAAGAAACCTTTAAAGCCTTGTTGGTTGACCTTTATTCCGTACTCGGATCAAGAATGCTTTAATGAGACATTAGGATCATATATTAGAGAAGTGTCCATGCTGTTTGTGATAGGTTGGAATTAATGTATGTAGTGTTAAGCTATATTATCGCTAAGAAAGATTCTGCAGAATCTCTAGTGTGTGACAGCAAAACTTCAATTATAAATTTACATTTTATCTGTTTTACAATAAACAATAAATTTACATTTTATCTGTTTAATAATCTCGTTACCCTCGATCCAAATTCTTTATACCCTATTAATGATGTTCATAAGCAGTACTGATGATAAGGGAGATAACAGTATTCGTAAAGCATTAATCGGAAAGTTCTTCATTGATGAATTTGCGGAGCCTCTCCTCGTATTGCCCATATACATGAAGATTATTGTGAGCTGCGCCTTGTATCCACAGCGGTTCCACAGCTCGTGAGCACAGCTTATGAAGAGTTTTGCCGTGGGATAAAGTGTTGACTTCATCATTGGTTCCGTGGATGACTAACACTGGACACGTTACCTTGCGGGCTTTTTCTGCGCTAAAATATATTTATTATTAATATCTACATATATTTATATAAATATAATATTTCATATAAAGACATGCTAAATTTCGAGTTAACTGTGCTGAATAAAATCAGGCATGGGTAGTTTTTTAATTTTTTAATTAGTAAGTATCTAATATTTCGTAATTTCTAAAATAAAAGCGGGTTATCCGATAAATACTTTTTCCCCTAAATGAATATAAACAGTGGTCTCAAATACCCGAAGTAATTCTTCGGCCCCCGAAGCAATTGTAAACGACCCGGGAACAAATTTCATTTATGCATTTCTTGTAATTACTTTTCTTACAGATTTGGAAATATAGGGAAATGGATTGACCTTATATGCGAACTATTATTAAAAGGAAAAAAGATAGAATGAATAAATTGAGGTTTTGTCTTGGTCACTTTATGCGTTCATTCAAGGCAAAGTAATTACGATAATTACTTTGCCTTTTACAATGAGTAAATTTAGTTGGCTTCTCGCAGCCGGTGACGTTTCAGTATTCTGATGTTGTTCTCTACGAGTGTTTCTGACATATACTTTCCTTGATCCTGTAGTTAGTTAGTTAGTATATATATAAATGTAGAATTTATTTACTAAAGAAATATTGATTATATTATCTCCTAATATAAATTTAGTAGAAGTATCAAAAAAGAGGGAACCCATATGTAAGAAGTTTAATTCCGAAAATTGTGTTTTAAAGTAACCGAAAATTGTGTTTTAAAGTAACCGAAAATTGTGTTTTAAAGGAAAACTTGTTTTAGAACTAAATGAATTTTAGATCATTCAACATTATATATATATAATATAACTTTGAATGAGAGACTGGATAAATTAGAAGATTCCTGCGCAATTTAGAAGATAACCGTTAAACGATGAGATGTTCATCTGCATCACAATTAATTAGAGAGAACTCTAATGCGTAGATTCACAAAAAAAAAAATAATAAGGGACGGAACACGTTCATTTATTCGTGAGCATTCTTGTAGTACAGATCTTTCTTGGGCTAGTAATGCACCCTCAATTTTTGTACGAGGGCATTTCGAAAAGTAAAGATACACCGTACGCCAGAGGAAAAGAAAAGTTTTGGTGATCAAGTTGGCAACACAGTTGTTAACCTTGAACCGTTAGCTTTCTCCTCGCGGTCGTTCGGCATTTCAACGTTCATTCTGGTTGCAGTAGGTCGTGTTTAAAATGGCTGCGCCGATTCAGAATTCCGCCAAATGCCAAGTGCGCTCCGTCATACGTTTTCTTCATGCAAAAGGTCAGCGACTAGCGGATATTCACAAAGAAATTGTTCCTGTTTGTGGGAACATTATGAATCGATAAAATGTAACGAAATGGAGTCATCATTTCTCTGAAGGTAGGACCGATGTTCATGACGAACAAAGAACAGGTGGGCGATCTGTGATCTCTGATGCCCTTCTTCAGACAGCAGATGAAGCAATTCGTGCGAATAGACGTCTCATATTGAAAGAATTGCATCAGATCCTACCGGAAGTGTCAATGACAACTCTTTATGAAATTGTGACTGCCAAGTTAGGGTACAGGAAATTGTGTGCGCGCTGGGTTCCAACAGGCGGCAACCTTCTATGACTGTGGGATGCAAAAGCTTGTGCACCGACTTAACAAATGTTTGGAAAACGGGGGTGATTGTGTCTAAAAATAATAAATAATCCAGTTAATAAGATGTAACTGACGTTTTCTAAATAAATGTTTTTTTAAGGAATGCGAGCCATTGTATCTTTACTTTTCGAAATGCCCTCGTATATAGCAATTTGCATCTTAACCATGAAAAGCGCCGAGCGTTGTAGAACACATTTGACAGCAACAAGTGAAGCAAGGAAAAAAGGAATACGCAGTTAGTGATAATGTTATTTATAATAATAACTCATTTAATCTGATTGGCTCAGATTTCATCGCAATGCAGGTATGATTACATAACCGGATTAATTTTGAAAAACGTACTTTAGAAAACGTTTTTACTATTTTCAGAGGAGAGAGGACCGAACTTAAAACGAGGCGTTAAGGGGCTATTGCTAATTTGAAGCATAATTTACAGTTACATACCTCTTATCTTACATAATCCCCCTTCAACGAGAGAAAGACTTAGCGATCAAAATGGCCTCTTTTTAGAGAAAAAGCGTTAAAGTAGTAGTAAATGAAGAGGAACATAATTTGAAAAATACAAACCATAAAATTTTGCCCAAAATAATTACTTAAAAAATTCACAAATATAAATTTTGATATTATTTTAGCGTTCAATTGTAAATTCTCTAAAAAGGTTAAGTTTTTTAAATTCTGCAAAAGATCTGAGCAAATATTATAAAACAAATGTTCTGAATTTGGAACCCTAGGTCTTTCATGAAATAATTAAAAATATGAAAGATTCTTCCTTGAAAATCATACACACACATATATAATGAAAAAGAGGAAACCGCGTAACAATGCTGATGGTCACAGCGCATAGATAGTTTAATACGTATATACATATTTAAGAGGAAACTTGGCAGTCGAGGTGGATTTGGCCACAATATACTTAACACTTTAATCGTGCCTATTCAAGAACGTTTATTTTGTTAACTCTGTTGAGATAGGAAGAGAGCACAGCGAAATAGCGTCATTATATGAAGAGAGGGAGAAGCTAAAGTGCATAATTATCCATTACGGATGCTCACCAAGAGAAGGTTTTAGTTTGCGTTAGAAAGGTCTCATTTCTCAAAATTTTGAGTTCAGGTCACGAATGAGCTACGTCATCAGTATTACGCAAGCCATATGACACAGATTAATATAGAAAAGGCGCAGTCCAGAAAAATTATTACTACTTTTAAAGTACAGAGAGGAAATACCCAAATTAAAAATGAAGAAATGAGAGGCTATTACTAAATTAAATTGTTCAGTTGATTTACATATTTTTTATCTTACATATTCTCCCCTTCAGAGAGGAAGAGGCTTGGCGACAGCGCACCCTTTTAGAATAAAGCATTAAAACATTAGGGAAACATGGAAAATACAATTTTGAAAAATAAAACATAAAATTTTGATCTAAATATTTTTTTTTAAATAACAAAGTTTTGTAGATTCATTTTTAACAATAAATGCAAACTGAAAATGTTATTGACATTTTGAAAGTCTGCAAGTTCATTTTTCTGTAAAAGTACTGTAAGGAATGTTCTAATGTTTTCAAGAAATAACTGGAAAATTCCTGGAACTGGAAAGTTCTGTAAAATCTTTGCTCGAATATTATAATCTGAATCATAATATTTTGCAATTCCTAGCTTTCATAAAAACTGTTAAAGTTTTTCATAAAAATTGTTGTTGTCAATATGAAACCAAAATTTTCTTTTACATGTTCCTGTAATTTGTATTCAAATTAATTATTTAACACTCATAAAATAATCCACATTTTCTTAGTTAAAAACCACATCAAATGTAATTTACAGCTTAATAAACATAGAAAAGTAACAAAATTCAGTACAATAAATAAAATAAACTTTTATAAAAATGGGCAGGTCCTCTACTATGCAAATCAACGTTACAACTTGCTGTAGACTGTAGGGAATACAACAGAACCTGAAAACTTCCGTTCCTTAATAAAAGTAACTGGCTTCTAGTATTGCATAATTATCAAAGTTTGCATTTATAACTTATGACCATAAAATTTTCATATTAATTGATATAAAAAAGATAAAAAATTTAAAATATAAGACATGTCTACTCAAGTTTAAATCTTTTAAATTTTATGAATAAATCATACATTGCTTTACAATAATAATATGGACCATAAAATTTTGTGAATATAAAATAAGAAAATAACTAAATTCCATAATTATATCTGTTTAGGGAAGGCTTTTAAGACTTTTCTAAACATAAAAATTTTTAATACGTTTGTTAATTACGTTACAAAATCACTAAGAAATTTCAAAATATTATAACGTAATTAATTTCTCATTCAAAACATCATTTGAAATAACATTAAAGTTATGCTCTCAATTATTAACGACATTTTTAATTTATTTGTTTTGTACAAACTGGAAGATCCTACAGTTTTCTCCTAATGCAAACATTTCCATCTTATGTTCAAATCCACATTAACGACTTAGTGTATACTCACTAATGATTAAGGGTTGCTTAGGTAGTTACTTATAAAGGTTATAATGTAGAGGTTGTCTACAATTAAAGGACCCTATTTCAACTGCCTACAAGCGAAGCCAGTTATCAGAAAATTGTGAAATTTTGTAGCGGGTTTAATGAAGGGTTGAGAATGTCTTTTAGAAAAGTAGTTACTAATAGTGTCACCAGACGGCGTTTTACTTTGAAAACCTGTAGTAAAAATGCAAGTTTTTGTCGACATCATGCAGCAGCTGTTATAAAACTTAGAAACATTCGCGGAGACCTTTTTTTTTTTTTTTTTTTTTTTTTTTCAATGTGCTTGTTGCTCACAATGACGATAAGTGTACGAGATCGTGCTTTGTTAGAAAAATAGTTTTACCACTGCAATAATTCCGTAGTAGCTGCTATACGGAAATTTCGGACTTTGAAGGAGATTCCAAGAGATCCAATAAATGTTAAAAATCTTTGGAAAATGATATCGAAATTAAGAAGCACGATCGTTTACTGTTCGTCCTGGAAGAGGAAGAAAATCTGTTTCTGCATAAACAGTACAGGAGGTTACGATCCAGTTCTGCAGGACACAGTTTTAAACTTTCAACTAGCAGTATCCGGCGTATAGAGAGGTGCTGGGTGGATCACGTTCAATTGTCCATAAGATCTTGCGGAATATCCTCCAATATTATCCTTTCAAACTTTCACTAATGTAGAAGTTGCTTTCACATGATTTTGACGCTCGACTCCGGATCCTCTGGTGGTATTTGTAACTAACGTTTTTTCGCTGAAAGACGTTCGCATCCCTTCATTCAGTCCACTGCAAAATTTCATAATTTTCTGTTTACTGGTTTCGCTTGTAGGCAGCTTTGAAAGAGGGTTCTTTATT